ACTATAGAGTTTTAAGGTAGGAGGACCACTCTGTGAAGGGACAGTCTTAGACCCAAGATGGCCACATGGCCTTGTTGATAGCCATGTTGTGAAGACTTAGAGAAGAAACCAAAGGGACAGGCCCGTCCATGAGGAATGGACGAAGTAAAACACAGGTCTCTCTGCTTGGGAAGCTGGATGAGTTTTTTTTTCTTCTTTCCTCTGTTAGAAGCTGGGGCTCACTCCCTTCATCTTTCTCCAACTCCCCTTTTGAGTCTGGAGAGACAAAAACGCACCCTGAATTTATGCCAAGAGAGAATTGGCAGCTCTTTAAAAATGGACGGCAGGGTCATCGTCTAGTGTTTGAATGTGAACTGTTTCAGAGAGCAGCAGCCTGTGTCAGGAGTGAGATTGGTCTGAGCAGGGCCCCAGGAAAGCTCCCCGCTCCACCAGGGAGATGAGAACATTTTCTTTCTTTTGCCTTTTAAATGAAATTCTGTCTGCCCTCCTCCCTGCACCTGCTCAACCCTCTAGCTGAGAGTGTGGTGCAGACATTTAACCATCCTGGGAAAAGACAGGATCCTTTTCATTAACTTTACCCTGATTGAAGTCCCCAGAGCTGGGGTGGATTTCATTTTCCTCTTCTCATTCTCTGTCTATCATGGATACTCCCCACACAGTGAGGCCGTCATGGGCATTGAACTGTTCCCCAGCGGCTCCAAATGGACACAGGGCCACAGTGGGAAGGGGTGGTGGGGAAAAGCCGTGGGTCTGTATTTTATTTTTCTTTTGTTTGTTTTAAAATACTATTAATAAGATTTATTATCATTATTGCTATTAGTATATCTGTGTGTGTGTGTGCCTGTGCATCTCTGTGTGTGTGTGCCTGTATATGTGTGTGTGTGCCTGTGTGTGTGTGTGTGTGTGTGCCTATGTGTGTGTGTGTGCGTGTGTGCCTGTGTGTGTGTGTACACTTCTCTCAGATGTCAGTTCTTTCATTCCACAGTGAGTTTTGAGGGCTCGACTCAGGCTGGCAGGCTTGCACAGCAAACACTGTAGCCCTGAGCCATCTCTCCAGCCCCTAACTCCATCTTACCTTTTATTCACTTTCAACAGAATCTCTGGGAGTTTCTGTCTCATCCTTAGACGCCAGCAGCCAGTCCTGTGTGGCAGTGTGGTTCGATTGGATAGCAGACAGACACGAGCAGACGTCTGTGCACAGGGGCCAAGGGTTAGGAGACACACTCAGAGCTGTCTACTTAATAATGTCACTGTCAGCTCTTTCTTCCCCCTAAAAATAAGACTCCTTTTTTGTTTGTTTTAATGGAAAACTATGTTGCCTAGTGAAACTGCATTCAACAATTGAGAGGGGTGGAACCACTCTGGATTAGGAAGGAAGGGGGACACAGAAACACCTTCTTCTTTATTGCATTTCTTTATACCAGAAGAGGTGGCTTCTTAGTGCACTGGGGGAGCAATACCCCTGTCCCTCCCAGAATCTTCCAACTGCTTGATTCAGTCTCAACATTAAGATTAAAACTCTTCTGGGAATCCAGGTTTAGATGGTCTGTGACTCTGAAATACAAGAGGACTTTTTCTGTCCCTGTAATTCTAATTGACACCAGAGCAGCACACTTCAAGTGTCCGATGATCGGCCCTGTTGCCTTTAAAAATGCAGAATGGGTATCTGCTTTGGGGAGTATTCATAACGTGAGTCTATGCTCTGCCTAAAATTTCCCGTGTTTGGTTATAACATAGTTAGAACTTGAGAGCCTGGAAGACAATTACGGTGTGAAGACACATACAAGCTTCCATAGACTGTTCTTTCTGGGCTCAGTGTTAGGAGAGGCCACCATATTCTTTTGGTTGTTTCCAGGCCAGATAGCATTTGCCGTGCACACTACACTGTGAGTGAAATACTTGGCATCTCCAAGGAAAAGGAATTGAGACATTTAAACTCTACTTAAACTCCACACTGTTCCTGACATCACATCCCTGCATCCTCCTACTCAGCAGAGATAGACAGCATGTCAGAACTGTGCTGGACCATTGAACATCCACTGTTGCAGAGGCAGAAAAACAAGAACCCTCTCCCTGGGGTGAATCCATTTGCTGTTAGCCCCTTTCCTTGCATGTTACATATCCTTACATTTAACCCGTGACTTCTACACTGAGGTCTAAGCCAGTATTCTGTCCTATAGCCGAGAACAGATGAAAAAAAAAAAGAGCTTGTTCCTGTCAAGGGAGTGCATCAATTCATTGTAGCATTGCTATGCTCCTCATGCAGAAAACGTACCGAGTGCTGAGTGCTATGTCCTTTTGTCAGCTTGGAGAATATTCTCAGCTGTCCCTCACACTTCTCCACACCCAGCAACTGAATGACTCTTGTCCTCACCTCAAGGTTGACAATCTCTCCCGCTTTTCTTTCGAGTCGTATGTTCAATAGGTAATTTAGTGACTAAACTATGTGTTCAGTCCCCTCCTAACACATTGCAAAGTGCAGAATTTACATAAAATATTGTTCCACTCGTGTCTTGTTGGGCATGTTGTTGTTGGTTTAAAATAATATATGCAGCAACACAAAATAGAAATTGAAGGAGTTAAGAACTAAACTGCACACATCTGATTCTGTTCTGAGAGAAGAGAAGAGAGGAATTAAGACTTCTGGCAGGGGGTACATTATAACTTTGTTGAGAACCAAAGGAGACATAACAAACCGTAATCAAGCCTGCTGGATTTCTATACAAATGGATTTGCTCAGTTCTCAGTCCTCTGCCATGGATGTGAAGAAATGATACACATTTGAAGATGTTGTGAATACACTTGTAATTTACCCTCACTGTCAGCATTTCAGAGCTAAGAGGTAGATGTTTTAGTCCCCTGTCTCTGCTCTCATGGTGAGCCCAACGGGTAGGTGGGTATTTCTTGGCTGAAGCTGAAGGGCCTGGAACATTTCTGAGATGACTCTTCGGTGCTGATCCTTGTGTGGTGTGACTGATGTGCTGATGCATGTCAGTGGCTTCATAGCTGTATGAAGTCTGTCTGTCACCTCTGCGTTTGCCTGATTCAGTTAAAGGCTTATGCTGTATTGATAAGTCTTGAAGAGTAGATGCTCATTACCGAGAAATGAGAGTGTCTTAGCCAAAGGGCTTGTTAAGGGTCATTGATCAGGACATAAGTAGTATGTTACTGCATGGGGCTCTTTTGGTTAATATTCTGATACTTGGCCTTTTTCCTATGCCCACCTCAACTCTACAAAAGGTCTCCAATCTGTTGAAATTCACATGCACACACACACTGTAGGAGACAAAGCTTGATCATTGGGAAAATATAGTTTAAACCCAAAATACATGTAGTGCCAAGTAACACCTAGAAAATATTGCTTAACTTTAATCACTTTTCTCATGGATGGCATGTAGGTACTTTCCGTGACAGAATTTGTGGGTATTAGAAAGAGGAACAAATTGAAGCAAAGTATAATATATAAAGTATGTATAAAGCATCAATCAGCGTGTTGGGACTGGAGTGATTCTCAGTGTACTATAATGCCCTCCCTGTTCCCTGAAGGAGGCTGGGGCTTGCACTGATGGATGCAAATGGAGGGGGGATGTTGGGATTAGCAAGTCCCTTACCCTGCCTTCATCCTTCACACTGCTCCCGCTTGAAGCCCCTTCTCCTCCTACCTTCTTCATTTGGAGACTCGGCTCAAATTCGATCTGCTTCACCAACCCCGCCCCCAGCTGTCTTCCCTTTTCTCCAAAGTCTGAGACATGGACTCTGCCGTTTCTGCTGATGTCCGTTTGTGTGAGCATTTTCTGGGCAGGGTGCTCTCTGAAGGCAAGGATTGAGTCTTCCATTGTGCCTAAGCTCTGTGCCCGGGCCCGTGGCCTTACAGGGAGTTGCCTGATTGTTTCACTACAGCTGGAGGGGACAGACTGACTTCTTCCCAGGAGGGGAAATCCGTCTCTCGGACTGGACAACCCCAAGGCTGAGCAGAATGTGCTGTTCTAGCCCAAATCCCACTGTGGCCCACATGTGGTAGAGTGATTAGGGATTCGAGAAAACCCTCTTCAGCTTTGTCCCATGGAAGACCCCAGAGCCTAGCAGGGCTCCTTCTGTTCCCTGAACCAAACAGAATATTGTGAGAGAAAACATGAACTCATAGAATTTCCCCCAAATACTCTCTAGGCCTACATTGGCCATCAGACTCCTTGACTTGAAACAGGCACTTCCCCTTCTCCTTGTCACCCCACCCTTTCCCAGCACTAACCAACGGCCAGAGTGGGTCTCTTTCATTAATTAATGTGATGTTGTCATTGAGGGGTTTCCACCCCCAGGAAAGAGGAAAAAGTACTGAAAACCACACCCTAATCCTACAATATCAATTAAACAAAGGTGTGTGTGTGTGCACAACACACTCGGAATTTAATTTTATTTTCTAATTCTGTGTATAATTGTTTGAAAGATAAGCTATAAACACTTAGATAGAATATAAAATCACAAGCAACATACGATAAAGGCAAACCGAACCATGTTGGTGGGAAGACTCAAGAGTCAGTTCTCTGACTTGTGTTTAAGAGAATGAACAAGAAGAAAAAGCCACGTTAGAAGAGCAGTGCCTTTGACTGCATATGAAATAGTAACTCCTAATTGGGTTTATCATGGAATACTTTGAAAATAGGAAGAAAGCTAGAGAATTTCTCCTTAAAGAAATGGATGTATCTGTGGACATATGTTATATCTCACAATTTCAGTGAGCCAGTGACCCTCAACCTTTGCTCCCTGACTTAAGCCCCTTTCTGTAAGTGGTAGCACACACAAAGGCAACAAGAGGATGGGAAGGAAGTCAGAGAGGTTGTGGACACATCGTGGAAGCTCAGAGTGTCTGGGTTCCACACATTTTGTGACTGTGGGTCTGAAGTGCCAATCTGGGCTATGGTAGTTGCGGGCTGGTTGTCTTAGGGATGCTGTGTGTAAACTTTGAGAAGCATTACTAAGAAAAACTTCTTTGTTCTTTTCAGCTCCTCACAGCCAGTGACCTTGCAGCCAGTGACCTCAAAGGATTTCAGACACAGGTGAGTCTCTGTCCTGGTTTGATGTGGTTTGAGAATGGTGTGATCTGCAGTTAGGTTGTGAGTAAATGAAATTGATGCAAGGACCAAAGCTTCCCGGGGAACCTCCTGCTTCTCTGACTTCAAGTACCAAAGAGAGAGTGACCTGGTACTTGTTCCGTCTCTGGAGCTCTTATCTTATCTCACCTTTGATATAATGATTGCTTTCTACTCTGACTTTCTTAGTGTGCCATAGTGAAAAGCAAAATAAAATGCATTTAGATCAAGATGCTTAGAATATTGAATTAACACAGGGTTCAACTGAAGGAAACAGAGTGGAATTAGGCTAGAGTTACACCTCCTCTCTCTCTTTTTCTTTCTCTGGACTGTATGTTTCTATAATATTTGTATGCAAATACCTTGTAGTCATGGTCCTATGGCTGGGCTAATCCAGGCTCCTGCAAAGGCAGACTGATGAGTTATGCTGATAGTGGTTGGGGAACATGTCATACTTCTCTAGCTAGAGTGCTGCTTGAAGATCACTATTAGAAATGGCAAGGGGGACCAGGCAAAATCTCTCTGGGAACCAGGTGTGGCAGCACAACCCTTTAATCCCATCACTTGGGAGGCAGAGGTAGATGGATCTCTGTGAGTTGGAGGCCAGTCTGGTCTACATAGCAAGCTCCAGGCCAACCAGAACTACATAGAGACCCTTTCTCAAGAAAAGAGGTTTTCTGGGTAACCTCCTTAGCAGGGGTAAAAATTTAAAATCATTCTCTCTGTCTCTGGAAGAGGAGTTCCTATGGATGAGACATAGATACCTCACCTTCTCCCCCAGATTCCAGCAGAGGCCCAGGATCAACATAAAGAAAGACACATTCAAGAATGATGGCTGTGGTGCTCAGTCCCTGGTCCCTTTTCATATGAAATTTTCTATCATCCCAACTCACTCTCCGTTTCCCTTTGTAGCAAAGGACATCATTGCTGGTAGAACTTTTGGGCATGAAACAATCAACTTTCTAACAGAGTTCCATGTATTCTGGAATGTTTCTGTTTTTAAACCAGTTGCATGTGGTGCCCTCATGATACTTTTTTTGTGGGTTATACTACTTCTCTTTTGTGGATTATAACCTCCAGGCACCCTTTTATTGCAAGGGCATCTGAGAACCAAAATTCTGATATAAAATAGTCCCATGTCACACAGAATAGAAACAGGGACAGAGAGTAGGCAGGGAGAACTGGAGGAGGAGAACTGACAAATTGAGGGATCCCTAGTGAACGTCCAGAGCAGGTCTGAAAGCCAGCGCTTCTGGGGCAGGCCTTTGACTACAGCACTTGGGAGGCAAGGGCAGGTGGGTGTATGTGAGCTGGAGGCCTGCCTGGTCTACAAAGTGAGATCTAGGATAGCTGGGGCTGTGTAATAGAGAAGCCTTGCCTCATGAAACTTAAAAAAATAAAGAAAGAAAGGAAGGAAGGAAGAAAGGAAGGAAAAAAGAGGGAGTGAGGGAGAGAGAGAGGGAGGAAAGAAAGAAAGAAAGAAAGAAAGAAAGAAAGAAAGAAAGAAAGAAAGAAAGAAAAAGAAAGGAAGGAAGGAAGGAAGGAAGGAAGGAAGGAAGGAAGGAAGGAAGGAAGGAAGGAAGGAACAGACCTGAATACCATTTGGGGTGTTTCTGTCTCAGTCTATTGTAGATGACCCATAGGGCTTTCTTGCCAGGCATTGAAAACCAATAAGGAACTGAATGCTATTCACATTTGCAAACAAACTTCCAGTGGATCTGAGAGAATGTGAAAGAAAAGCAAAAGACAATCACCATCGACCCATTTCCCACTCACCTCCATTATCTCTCTCAAGCAGTGACATCTCAGCTAAAGGTTTCATTTCACTTTAAAATTCAACTTTTAAATGATGTGTTTTTTTATTTTTTTAAATTAAAATATAATTACATCACGTCCCCTTCCCTTTCCTCTCTCCAATCATTCCCATGTACCTGCCCCACACTTCACTCTCTAATTCATGACCCCTGTTAAACACATCTTGGCAACATGATCGTATTCTTTCCATGATTATATGTATATGTGTGTATACATATGTATCCTAAATACACAAATGCAGCCTGCTCTGTCTGTATAGTGTTACCTGTCAGCTCAGCAGGGCTGAGCACCTGGTATTGGGTAACCCATTTAGGCGCTCTTCCCTCAGGACAACTATTTCTCCTGCCCCCAGCATTCCATACTTGCCTGTTATTCCTTTGTAGTGGGTAGAACGCCTTTCCTGGAGGGGCTGTTTTGTTTCCCCCAAAGGAAGATAGTGCACAGTGAGTTTCTGGAAGGTCTGTGTGTGAGAGAGCACGAGTGTGTGTGTTGTGTCAGTGTGTGTGTGTGTGAGTAATCGATTATGAGTGTGGCAGTGATTACGTGTAGGTGTGTTTGAGACACGGCATGTTTCTGACATGATCCAATGCCTCCCATGATTATTTAGAGATGTCGTCAGATACTAGATTTAAACTGAGCAAGAAAATGAAGGCAGAGGTAGGCTCATTTGAGGCTGGTCTACTGCCTTGGAAGGCGGGGTCCTAGACAGGCACTCTCCAAGCAACCCTGCCCATCCACACAGTCTCCGGGGCAGACGGCTCGCTCCCCTGCTTATTTTCCTCCACATCGTTCCATTTTTATGTCATCCCCTAAGACTGCAAGCATATTGTTTGACTACACAGGATGCCATTCTTGAGGCCAGGAAGTTCTGTGATTCCTGTGGGCAGCCTGCTAGGCTAAGATCAAAGCTAACTTTCCAGTGTTAGTCTTGAATCCAAAGGGCAGGGGTGTGTTTCAAGTCAACACCAGCTTTTGGGAATTTTCCCAAATAGAAGCTGAAAGCAGGCTCCATGCAATAATCCATGGATGTTTTCACTTCCAGGAACTTTCACTGAATGTTGGGTGAAACCCAGGAGGACCCCTTGCTGGGAGAGCTGATTAGCTTCTCTGTAATCCACACTTTCCTTGAACATGGGCTGGGTTAGTCCTTTCCTTTATGCCTGTTCCTGTTGCATCCTCTTAAAACATAGTCCTGATCCCCTCACTGAGTTTAATGACTTGAAAGTGGCAAGTGGCCACTCTAGTGGACTGGACTGTTCTGTCTGTATCTGTTCTTCTCTCTGCATTTGGGTAAAGCAGAGAAGGATAAGGAACCAAAATTTCCCCTTTGCTTTGATTTTCAAATATATCTTGTTCCATCTTGGACTGAGTTTTCAGGTAGTGCCTGGCTATCTAAGTTACTATATATTGAGGATGGGTAGTCTTTACCAAAGTAGTGAATTTGGCCTCAACACCACAGGTGGAATTGTCTGTTAGAGTGAGGTCTAGGGCTGGCAGGCATGCCATCTCAAGGAGTTTTCAAAGCATAGATGGAAAAGCCTCTGGAATCCATACCTGAACTGCGCCGACTTCTCCCATTCTTGACTTTTGAAGCAGCTGGCACACCTGAAGACTGCCATCTCTAGTCTCCAGTAACCGGAAATGAGGACACACATTTCTCTATCTGAGACCAATGTTCTCCATCCCTGAGAGAAATAAGATTTGGCATCTAATTTCGAGTGAAAGCCCAATAAATATAAGCTCTGATCTCTTCTTTCTTTCTTTTTCCCTTAATACAAAAGCTATAAAGTAAGAATTTGGAATGCACAAAGAAACAAACAAGCCTCCTGTTTTTTCACCACAGAAACATCAATGGTGGCCTCTGGGGCTGTCTTTTCCTCTTTCATCTACACAGCCTTGTATGGCTATTGGAATTTCCATTGTTACACGTTACATTTATGTTGTTACTTTCTGTTTTCTTTGCACGCTTTCCATGCCCCTGGAAAGTCATATAGCAGCTGGTTATTCCTGCACTTGTTGCAAGTCCCTTTCTCTGTCTACCAGCCCATCCTCAGGAGGAATTCCATCCCTTGGAGGCTGAGATCTCCAAGGAGCAATCTAAAGCAGATGCTAGGACAGAGTCCTCTCATCTAGGACACAAACAGCATACAATTCTTTGCTTTGTTTCTAGTTTATTTGCTACCAAGATGTGACAGTTGCTTAGGCTTTGTATACAAAGCCCACAATCTTGTGCACATGCTTGGGAGGGCCCAGGTGGGACTATAGTAGAGAGATCATTGTAGCGAGGGGACCAAATGAGGTAGGTACCAGCTCTTCAAGTCCAACTATAGTGTTGGGGGAACCTGACTTTAGAAACAAGCACTGCTCACAGAGAAAAGACTGCAAGTCTTGGTCCTTGCCTACTGTAAACTCCCCATCGTCACAAGGGGAGTTCCTTCCTTTAGGGAGAAGGGAGCAGTACTTTAAGGATGAGACAAGTATATGAGCAACATATGAACTGTCATTTATAATGCATTTCTGTTTTGTTTTTTGTTTTTTTTTTTTTTTTGGTTTTTCAAGACAGGGTTTCTCACATTTCTAAAATGTTAACTGCTATTGTGGTCAAGGGCACACAGGGACAGATCTGAGACATACAGGAAAACATTTGAGCATGGAGAATATAGGAATTGTTGTTACCTAATTGCCACCTACATTCAATAAGCAACCCTGTAAGGCCTTTGTGTGGGGCTCTCTTTGGCATACAAAGCATTCCCTCCCCTCCCTAAGTTTTAGAATGTTCTGCCAAAAATATCATCTTTATGACACTGGGAAAGACATCGAATGACTTTGATGCTTATTTTTTCTTATAAAAAGAAAAAGGTCTTACTGTGTATATGATTTTTGTTAGGGTTGAATAAGACAATCCACAAGAAAGCCACCAATAGCAAGCCTGTGTGAACAATGGGTCTGGGTAGTTCTTCCCTTGAAGAAGTAGAGATTAAACTAATTAAAAATGCCGACGAAGAACAGAGAATACCATTATAGAATGAACTTGAAGGTTTTCCAAGTAGAGGTGTCACTCACCTGGGCTAGGAGAGGGGAGAAGAATTATGAGGTGGTAACCTTATTCCAGGGCAGGTGAAGCCTAAATGAAGCTTAAGCTAGAGCGGAAA